ATAAAAATTTAATATACATATAACTAGAGGAGAAATAATAAGCAGTTATATATGCTTATTGCTTTGACATATTCACGACTTTTTTGTCGTTGACGTCTAATTTAATWATTCATCATGGTTGTTTATGATCGTTTTATTATGTTATACTATTATTATAATTTATGTTTAAAAAATATTAATGTGCTCTTTTATAATTTGATATTCGTTAATTGTAATTGTACCTATGATAACGTAAATGCGATTTTGACAATTATTTAATTACATTAATAATTTGATGCAATGGTGCAATGGAACATAAAAACAATCTCGATTATTGATTTATTTATTTCGCTATAAAAGATAAAGAAATAGGATTAATTCCAATAAAACTTTTAACAAGAAAATAAATAGTTTTGTTAAATTTCTATAATTATTATTACGTCACTACAGTCGTCTCACAACGATAGGTAAATAATTCATAATTGTACACACATGATACACGGGACCTCCGTCGGTCGTCGTAAAATAAATATTACTAAGGTTCAATAAAATATAATAAATAATATTGATGAACTCAAATCTGGAGGTCATTGATAAGACGATTGAAATAACAYGCCAATGGGTTCCTTGTCGCGTGCTTTTGTTTAGAAGTCGATAATAATTATTGCATTTCAGAAAATATGTTTGTTATTATTGTTATTGTGCATTAACAAAAAAAAAAAAACTAATACCTAACATAATTTATTGATAAGAAATACGAATAATTCATTTCAATTTGTAAATTAATTGTCATTAGATTATTCTAAATAGGCATATAAAGTAATTATTATGCCAATGTCAAACATTTTAAATCATACTTATATACTATCATAATATATTAATATACATATTTTATAAGTAAATAAATTGTTTAAAGATTACAGTTATATGTTATTCAAGTAAAAATCTTGACAATTGTTAAAATGTGACATTGCCATTAGCTAAATAAGCCCAAATTGTTTATATATTTATATCTATGTATGTTTAGAATTACAAAAGTAAAATATTACTTCTAAACATTAAAAAATTAAATATTATTTCTTACACAACAGTTTACTTTCCAATAATCATCACTGTAGCAGTTACTGTATCCAGTAAGTCACATATACCTATTTGTATCTAAAAACCTACTGATGAGTGATGTTTTGAAAAAAATATCAAATAATCGACTGCAATTAATTTATGCAACATTACCTATACATATTATATAGGTGATATTAAAAAAATCGTGCAATTCACGAAATGTCTGATGGTCATTGTGGCCATTATTACAATATTATTATACTTTCACATTGATTGATTTTCGAATAGGTTAGGTACCGTCACTGTGTTTCACGGTTGTGTGATAAATTTGAATTCAAGTAGGACAGATTTTTTTTTCTATTAGTTAAATTCATTATAGGTGTTCTGATAGAGGACAACTGATAAAGAATAATTTTTTAGAAATATTGTGGTCATATAAAAATCAAAAGCTAAAATATCACCATTTTCTAATTACAGAAAGCAAAAACCTTACACACAATTATTATCATG